GTTTTGGGTTTTTTTTTGGGGGGGGGGGGTGTGCTTAAATGCAGACTTCTGAAGAACTGGCATCTCTCAGATAGGCTTAGAGACCCAACCTTTCTTAATCACAGCTGCTTCTAGGTAACAGGACGACAAAGAGTATCTGGGAGCATCCTTCCTTACAGGCCTTGGTCCAGCAGTTACAGTGCTGAGGAAAGGAGCACCTGGAGCAGTCGGCCTCTCGGCTCTGATACTTAAAAGCACTGTACTCAGCAAGTACACACATCTTAACAAAGAACATCACCGGGCTTTCCTTAGCTAGTCCTCTAGTAACCAAAATATCCCAGCTGAGAGACTTGAACAAACAGATTTGCTTCACGTTGTTTAGGAGGCCAACAATCCGGGCACTTACCATAGGGCACTGCTCTAGGGCAGTGGGGCTCTGCCTTCCTAGGACCCCGACCCTTTAATACAGTGCCTCTTGTTGTGGTGACCCCCCAACCATAAAGTTATTTTCGCTGCTACTTAACTATAATTTTGCTACTGGTAGGGACCGGGCGACCCCTGTGAAAGTGTTGTTTGACCCCCCAAAGGGGTTGCAGCCCACCGGTTGAGAAACCGCTGCTTTAGGGAAGGTCCTTGTCTCAACTTATTTCTTGCTCTGGTTGTCTCCTTGCGTCTTACCCCACTCACTCGTTTAACCGCATTTCTCAAATGAGCTTTCTTTTATTCAGCCTACACTAATCCTGTTTCAAAATCAAGAAAACACAATTCCAAATAGGGTTAAGGCCACAGGGGTACCACTGAGGATTTATAACATTTCAGGGGGACACGAGGCAACCGACAATGGCCAGTTTGACAAAATTTTAGGAAACTCACGTGCAGACCATATTCACTGACTGTGACTTACTTAAGTTGGACACCTTTATGCCAAAATATTGCTAACTAAGATTCAAACCCATGCTTGGAAAGTAAGAAGCGATTCTTTGATAAATTATGGACCAAAGTGATCATAATCAGTGTTAAGGGGGCCATTTCTCCGAATATGAAGAATGTGTTGTTTTTGTTTTCTTCTTTCAGGTTAAAGAAGAAAGAGTTTAGTTTAGAGGAAATCTATACCAACAAGAACTATAAGTCCCCTCCTGCAAACAGGTAGGTACACGTGGCTGGGTAAAAATCCAGTAAGCCGACTTCTGAAATGATTGATGTAAATTAACAGTCCTCTCACTTCAGAAAGGGCTTCTGTTTGGCTCTGCCATGGTTTGATCTTAAAAGTTGCAGTTGATGCACATGAATTGGGTTTTGTGGTCGAGGGGAAAGGAAAAATGTCTGTTGAGTTAAGTAGGTACAGAAAATATAGCCTTTTAATTTGTGCTTGTATTTTTACTGAATAGTCACCATTCAAATGGAGATGGGAGTATCACTTGGCAACCTTTAGGTCTGAATTGGGATTTAAGCGAATGTTTATTAGTTTCCTATTGTATACAGGATAAAACAGGAGGAGCTGTAGGATTTTCCCCCTACGAATTGTATTTGTTCAAATGCCCAAAAGTGTTTGTTTAAGGGTATTCATCACAGCGTTGATAAAAAAATAATAATATGGGAATGGATGTGATCTAAATATGCATTAAGGAGTTTCTTATTAACTTGTGGTCATCCTATCTTGAAATCCGCTGGGTAACCATTAAAAACAGTGAATGGGACACACAGTGCATAGGACAGTGCATATATATATTAATTAGGGGGGGGGAAGGATATGTAGTATGAGTCAGCAAACTTCAGGCCAACGAGGCATTGGTTGTTTTTTGTTTTGTTTTGTTAATGGCCTGTGAGTTAAGAATGGTTTGCATATTTTTTAAAGTGTATTTAAAAAATAGAACATAGATTAGAGGGCTTAGTGGCCCACACACACAAAAATTGCTATCTGGCAATTTATAGAGAAAGGCTTGATTATGCTTGCTTAGCTTACCTATTACTTTTGACATGATATATTTAAGAATGTGTTAATAGTATTGCCCTTTTATCCATTTTGAATTTTTCCCTGATGTGCACGTATTACTATTTGTAAGTATATATTTTTTTCACGTGAACACGGTAGTTAAGGAACTCTTAGTACAAGTAGTTTTCAGCGCTTGTTGATGACATGAGTTGATGAGTCAAGTACTCCTGGTGAATTCTCTTCTGTGCTCCATCCTTAGGTGTTTAGAAACCATCTTTGAAGAGCCTAAGGAACGAAATGGTACACTAATCTCAATCAGTCAACAAAAGAGGAAGAGAGTTCTAGAATTTCAAGATTTTACAGTCCCGCGGAAGAGACGAGCCCGAGGAAAAGTCAAAGTGGCAGGCAGCTTTACCAGGGCCCAGAAGGCAGCCCTGCAGAGTCGAGAATTGGATGCGCTTTTAATACAGAAACTTATGGAACTGGAGACCTTTTTTGCCGAGGAAGAGGAACAGGAGCGATCATCGAGTTGTTGAGAAGCAATTCTGTTGAGGGTTCTCAATGTTGGTTTTCTGCACCTCGTTGAAAGAGGTTGCCCAATTTTGCCCTACTACTCAAACCACTCAAGATGTTTCGTCCGTGGATTTTTGCCCGTTTGAAGGTGCAAACTTTTAGTGACTGGGAAAGGAGGGTCCTCTACTTCTACTGCTGAGTGTAGAACCTCAGGAATGCTCCCTGTTTTTCTAGAAATGGTCCTGAATGACATCTGCCCTCCATTTCCCCATCTCTGCCACCCACCGGAGGAGGAAGCAACAGGTCTTAAGTAACACTAAGATTGCAAGGACTCCTTTGCACGTCCATATGAACGTTTTGTTTACGGTGGTGCTAGACCAAGATTAATTAGAAATGTGGCCTAAGGAGGTAGACCTGGCGTCCTTCCCTTTGGGATCACACTGGCTCATTTTAGTGGTCGAGGAAAGCTGTTGTGTTTTCTAATCCTTTGAGTCCTTTAGCCCAGAGTCTGGGAGGCATGTGCTTGGCTTTCCCGTCGTCTCTGGCCCCTCGGTGACTGCATCACTCGTGCCAGGAGCCCTTCCAGGTCTCATTTGAAGTCGGTTGCACTTTTCAATGTCGTAGTGATGATGACTTTATTCATTTTTTCCCAGCCTCCCCCACCCTTTTTAAAGATGTATTATTACTGCTGCATGTTTAGAGCCTTTAAATGTGATTTTTTTTTAATGCATTGAGGAGAACAGGACATGTCTTAAGAATCTTTGATAAACATTTGATCCAGTTTTTAGTGCATGATATGGGACAATAGATCTTTTCCCATTTACATGTTTTAACTGATCCCTACCCATCTCCAACTCCTAGTATCTCTCGTTGAGGGAAGTACATTTTTCATCTGGGTTCTCATTCTTGTCCCCTAAGTACACGCGTTGATTGTTATGACATAAGAAAGAGCAGGTTTGTCTCCCAGTCGTTTTTGTAAAAACACTTAAGATTGGGTGTGGTTTTAATAGGCCTTATGTGAAAAGAATGTGTCACAAAGTTGGATGGTAATAAAATCCAGCCATAAGCGTGTGCACCTGGCAGAGCAGCTTGCTCCAAGAGTGGGGCGGGGGGCAGGGAGGGAGGTGAGTGTTGACTCAGATCCAATAAGCTATTCTCGAGTGGAATCATGACATACCACAACCAACCCTCTTTGAAGATAGGTCGCTGTACTCTGGATTCCTGTGTCAGGCCCACTGGAAGTTGTGAAGAATGCCAGTTAGCAAAGTGTCTGCTTATTGTGCCTACAGGAATGTTTGGTCAGAAGGATGCTGTGTGGTTCAGAGGCCCAGAAGTCTCATTCCTTTCCACTGAATCCCCGTGTGCCCTTGCCCTGCTCCCCTCTTCTCCGTCCTTGTATTTTATCTTCTCTCGCTCACTCATCCTCAAACAAGAGCTCAGAGAATGAGCATCCCTTGACTGGTGAGCCGCAGACACAGCCGCCACCTTTTCCCTTCCTTTGGGAGCCCCTCCCTGCTGGGGAGCTGGGAAAGCCTCAGAGATGTGCTCAGTCAGTCTGTTGGAGAAGAGCGAGGTGCCGCCCTGGAATGGTGGCATCTCTCCTGGGTGTCCTTTTCCCCCCATCTGTTAGTGGGTGGGGTCTTTGTGTGCCTTTACTTTGCAGATTGACAGCCTATGCCATACTGGAGCAACTGACACGCACAGAAAAATAGAAGAAAAAGTGCCACATCTGTCTTTCAGGCTCATTGCCTCAGACACAGTGTTAGGATAACTGAACTAGAATCTCGGTAAGCTACAGAGTCTTCTACGGCCCCAGCAAATTGGATTAGAAGAGAGTACAGTGTCCACACTGGCTCCATTTGATGCTCACCCGGTTCTGCCTTACCAGACTGTGTAGACATTATCCGTGGTCCACCGCCGTACCCTTCCCGTCCTGGCACAGAGCTCCGACACACTCACTGTTCCTCTGTGCCTTTTTGCATTGGGAGGGAAATGAGTACGCATGTTGTGGTACCCTTGGGCAGATATTTGAGGGACCCTCTCTGCTGGGCAGCTTGCTCATTTTACCAGGCAGTTGACAGATGCATATTTTGCTCATTGCCAATGCAGAGAGGTCAACGAGGTGAGCACCGTGTCATTCGGCAGACTGAGGTTGAGGTGGGCCAGCTGGCGTATCGCCAGTATTGCAGAGGTGATCATTTCGAATTCATTCCTTAGAGATGTGGTCATTGAAAGGGCCGAGAGCAGTGGCTTTAACCTTGGCTCTGGGAGTGAAGGCTGAGGGACATGGAGACCTTAGGAAACCAGGAGCAGTGAGTGATCTGTAACATTGGCATCTGGGAAGAAGGGAAATGGTGATCTAAGGAAACCCTACCAATCCTTCCTTGTCTGGAGGGGAGAAGCTGCGCTGGGGCTTTTTCATATGTTTTAAGTGGTCCCTTCCTCATCTCCAACTTCTAGTGTAAGTCATTGGGAGAAGGTGTCTCGAGTCTCTAGCCCAAAGTTGAGAAGGCTTCCATTACAAACTTGAAATTACTTACCTGAAGCTGATCCATCAGGTTATAGCTGTGCTCTGCCACACCTGTCTTAACTTTTCCAGTATAGCCATTGACCTATTCAGCCACCGTGCTGTCGCTGGTCCCTTGATGCCAGTCTGTGGTGGTGCCTGCCCACTGGGGGAGACGTTTGTCACTTGCTGGCCTCCCACCTGCCCATAGCTACAAGAGTTTTGGTTTGGGGGTGCAAGTTGGTATTGCGACGTCCCATCCCAGGTAGTAACTTACTTAACTATAGCTTACCTCCAGAGGTTTAGTGTTTTTTAATATAGGAAAGAGGAGAAATCTCAGGTCCAATCAGGGTTCATCATCTGTTCATCAAAATAGCTTTTTTTGTTTTGTTTTGTTTTGCTTTTAGGTTTATATTTCACTTCCTGCACACACACTGATTTTTCTTTCCTCCCCCCCTCCTCCCCCATCCCTGCCCCCACCTTTTGGTCTCCTTCCAACTTCATTTCTCCATTCGTTGAGTGTACCTCATCACCCGTGAAAGCAGATTGTTGTCCACTTTTTCTTGCTGACCTTACTCTTAAGCGCTTCACTGAGGGAGGTGCAGTGGAAAGACACGTAGTGTTTGCCTTACTCAGAGCCTGAAGAGCTCAGAAACTCATGCTGTGAATCCCAAAATTCAGTGCTCCTCCTAGAGCTGTGAAAATCATGACACTTTGTCACAATTTTGCCTGAAAGGATCTTTCGTATGGGTGCCAGAGCCCACCTGAGCTCAATTCCAAATCCCACTCTCCGGGCACCTTACTTGCACCACGGCTTCTCCCCACCCTCCTGCCCCCTGACCGAGGGCAGCACAGAAGGGCAGAACTGCAGCCACAGAGCTGGGGCCTTGGTGCTGACTGATGAGATGCAGAGCCAGCACTCCAGTTCCGGGCTGTGTTTTCATCTTTCGTAACCAATACCATGTTTATTAAGATCCACGAAAGACCAATTTTTAGGCAGTGATACTTGTCTCCCCTTTCTAGGGGATAAAGTATGTAGTTGGTGCTTTCTTTGATTTCCTTACAGATTTTGTTTTGCTTTGTGTATGTAAGCTTTCCCCAGTATCATGAAAAGGCTCTGTCAGTACATTTGGGTGGCTGTATCCCAAGTATGAAATATTGTCCAGGAGTGTGGAGTATTGTTTCCTGGGTTCATGAAAGCAAAGGACTCCATGCCAGAACTGAATTTATTAAGCTGAATAATGAAGAGGCATAATTTTAACAAAATCAAAGTTTAATAGCCACAAATTGAGCAGTGAAGTTATTTTGACTGTAAAGTGGGGGGTCCCTATAGCTTACTGTCTAGCACAGCATACGCTTAAATTTTATGCTTGTTAATTGTGTATTTTCACAAGTCCCTCTCTGGTGCTGAATTGGATTTGAATTCTTGATGAGAGCCCTCAGCATCTCCTTGGGCTGGTCTGGGCCAGTAAATAGCTGCCTGAAGTAATTATATATTATCATGGTCAATAGTTCAGTGACATTTGTACATTTTTGGTAACATTGGTAAACATGATACCCCTGCGATTTATTTTCTGTTTGGTAGTTTGTGACTGACTCTAAAATCCCCACTGTTCTGTGTGTTAATTTATGAAATAAATTTTTTTAAGCCTTTCAAATAACACTCCAGGGTACTATTTTATGTTGTTATCTTGATAATCAGTTAATATTTTACCTGTGATTTCACAAGGCTCTTTTTTATACAAGTGACAGTTATACGTCACTCCAAGCATTCTTTTTTCCATAGTGATTTCCGTCTCCTGAGGTCTCCTCTGTTATCATCATGTGTGTAGCATAACAGACGTAGAATGGCCTTTGGTGCCTACAGTGAAGCTTTCTGAATTTCTTCAAAGGTGGCAAGTTATCACAGATGAATAAGTTTCATAATTGTCCACATGAATCATCTAGATCCAATCATGTCTGATACTTTTTGAGTTATCTCTCTAAGCACTTAATTTAGGTATACTTTTTAATGATGTGACATTTTCTTACATGGCTGAGAGATGAAGAAACGGTTAAAAATACAGGTCAAAATGTACTTCTAGCAAATCATATTTAGAATAAATGCCTAGCTTGCCAAGGAGAATACAAATAAAAGGAGAATGTGGTGAACATATATAATAAGGTATATTAATGGGGAGAAAAGACTCAACTCACCTTCTCTGACATACTTTGCCCAGGTATACATGAAGTTAGTCTCTGATCCTTGGTTCTTTGTTCACCAGTGGGAACTGGTCAAGAACTCCCTGCAAAGTGTGACTCTATTGCCACACAGACAGGTTTCTTATGACTTCGGGAGGATCTTTGGTCAGAGCAGAAGCAACGCCATTCATTTTTTGGTCTTATTCAATTAAGGAAAAGTTGTATTAGGCAGAGTGGACTAGAGAAACAAACCCAGAGACACTCATATATGTATGAGAGATCTCTGTATCAAGATGTAATAAGTCTGTAAGTCCGATACTAGCCCATAAATCCCTCTCGAGATTCATGCAGCCACCCACTATGATGCAGACTCAGGAACCTCACCAGCCAGTGGATGGAGGGTTGCACGGATCCAGTGGCGGTGGCTGTATCAGGTTCACCCAGGTCTGAGCTGGGGGATAGTCAACAAGAAGGTGAAGGCGCAGAGAGAGCGGGGCTGACCCCAGGGAGCCATTTATCTTGGTCACATCTCCAAATGAGATCATCAAGCTGTGATCTGATTGACAGGCTAAGCACGCCTACACTTTATTTATCAAATTGACTGGAAATTATGTAACTACCACAAAAGTCCGGAAACGAAATGATACATAAAAAGAAACCAAATATAACTGAAAGAGACAATAACAAGAAATACAGTGAAAAGGTTCAATAAGATCATATTAGGTCAAGGAAAATCAGCAAATTAAGAGAAGATAAAAATTACGGATGATGAAGAGCAATACAAAGTCAAGGCTGTTAAGCACGCTTTAGTGAAACTATGGGACAAAATCAAGAGACCCAATATACGCATGTTACGTTTCCAGAAGGAGATTGAGAACTGTTTGAAGAAATAAAGATGAGATTTCCCCACTCTTAGAAAGGACATAAATCTGAAACTCGAAGCAGGATAAACATATAGATGTATAAAAACATGGTAATCGGTAAAGGTGAACAGTCCTGAAAGGTGACAGGCTCAAACAGTCGCATATTTATTTATTTATTTTAATCGTTTTATTAGGGGCTCATACGACTCTTATCACTATACATACATACATCAATTGTGTAAAGCACATTTGTACATTCATTGCCCTCATCATTGCTCTCCACTTAAGTCCCTGGCATCAGGTCCTCTTTTTTTCCCCTCCCTCCCCGCTCCCCCCTCTCTCATGAGCCCTTGATAATTTATAAATTGTTTATTCTGTTATATTCTACCCTGTCCGATGTCTCCCTTCACCCACTTTTCGGTTGTCCGTCCCCCAGGGAGGAGGTCACATATAGGTCCTTGTAATCGGTTCCCCCTTTCCAACCCACTCTCCCTCTACGCTCCCAGTATCGCCACTCACACCACTGGTCCTGAAGGGATCATGCGCCCTGGATTTCCTGTGTTTCCAGTTCCTATCTGTACCAGTGTACATCCTCTGGTCTAGTCAGACTTCAAGGTAGAATTCGGATCATGATTGGGGGGTAGGGGGACGGGGAGGAAGCATTTAGGAACTAGAGGAAAGTTGTATTTTTCATCGTTGCTACATCGCCCCTGACTGGCTCGTTTCCTCCCTGAGACCCCTCTGCAAGGGGGTCTCCAGTGACCTACAAATGGGCTTTGGGTCTCCACTCCACACTCCCTCCATCATTCACTATGGTAAGATATTTTGTTCTGATGATGCCTGATACCTGATCCCTTCGACACCTCGTAATGTCGTGATGGCACAGGCTGGTGTGCTTCTTCCATGTGGCCTTTGTCGCTTCTGAGCTAGATGGCCACTTGTTTACCTTCAAGCCTTTAAGACCCCAGACGCTATACCTTTTGATAGCCGGGCACCATCAGCTTTCTTTGCCACATTTGCTTATGCACTCATTTGTCTTTGGCGATCGTATCTTGGAGGTGAGCATACAATGATATGATTTTTTATTCTTTGACGCCAGATAACTGATCCCTTTGGCACCTCGTGATCACACAGCCTGATGTGTTCTTCCATGTGGGCTTTGTTGCCTCTGAGCTAGATGGCCACTTGTTTACCTTCAAGCTTTTAAGACCGCAGACGCTTTATCTTTTGATAGCTGGGCACCATCAGCTTTCTTCACCACTTTTGCTTTGTCTTCAGCGGTTATGTCGGGAAGGTGAACATCATAGAATTCCAATTTAATAGAAGAAAGTATTCTTGCATTGAGGGAGTACTTGAGTGGAGGCACAATACAGTCACATATTTAAATAACATACTTAAGATTAAGTGATGATTTCTCTTCAGATATCAGTGGAATAATATATTTTGAAGTGCTGATAGGAACAACATCAAGAAACCTGCCAAACAATAATGCTACACCCAGCATAACTTTTCTCTCAAGAATGATAGTGTTCATTAAACATTCCCAAACAAAAGCTGAAAGAATTCATATCCACCAGATCAGTCCTACAAAAAAAAAAAAAATACTATTGAGTGCTCTGCACATGGGAGAGCAAAGATGTTAGCAAGGAATTCAAATCCAGACAGACTAAAGATCTCTATAAAGATAATTTCATGACTTGTATAAGGGCTAGTAATAAAGTATTTCATTTTGATTGTTCTTGCTGGTTTGTACTTCCAACTTTTAATAGCAAATGTATAAAAAGCACATAACACAAAGATGCAATCAGTAATAACAAAATGGGGAGAGGGAGAGGAAGAGAGAAATTAAGTTGTTATCACCTCACCGTTAAAAAAAACGACTGCCAAGTCAGCCCCAACTCATCATGACCCCATATCCAATGGCATAGAGACCATGGCTCACCTAGAGACTAAGGGAGACTGGAAAAAAGCAGTGAGAGGAGTCAGACGGGTGCCTGGTCAGCACACTTGATGCGGCTCAGCATTCTTGACCATTTGCCAGCAGCATTCTATCCTGGCACATGAGTGGCTGGTCACAAGAAAGGTGGGCTTTATCCTTGTTCCCCACACCAACCTGGTGACCAGATGCATGGCCAGCCCCCACCGCCCTGCACCCAGTCTAACAAAAGCTGAGAGAGTTCTTATCTCAGTGACTCCACCACCGCCCCTTGTCAGCTCTGGTACCTGGAGGTTCTTGAACTCCCCGTCAGAACAGCAGAACACACAGGTTTGGATCCCGGGCCACCCTACAAAGGTAGGAAGTCAATCTAAACCAGCTACGTTGCTCCCAACTGCCTTCACATTTGGAGATAATAGATTCTGGAGATAAAAGCTCTGATTTTAGCCACCTTGTGAGTCAGCACGAACTACTTCAAGATCTGGGACCCTGACCCCAGACACTAAACAGGCCAGCAGAAAGACTGTTTATGACCATAGCCCCACCCTGCCGATTGAACGCCTTAGCTGGCAGAAGGTGCCAATTACAAAGTGCCCCACCCACCACCTCCATTTTCTCCTTTCTGCCTTTGATTTTGTTAGTTTTGCCCTTCCTGTGATTTTATCCTTTCGGCTTTTCGTTTTTCTTTCTCTTCTGTTTCTTTTGCATCTTCTTTACGTAGTTTTTTTTTTTTTTTCTCTTTCCACCCTCTCAAAAAAAAAAAAGTTTAACTGCTATCAAGTAGACTCCAACTCAGCAACCTCGTAGGACAGAGTGGAACAGCCCCTGTGAGTTTCTGAGACTGGACATCTTTACGGAAGTAGACAGCTTCATCTCTCCCCTGAAGAGTGGCTAGTGGTTTTGAACTGCTGATCCCGTGGTTAGCAGCCAACACCTCACTCACTACACCACCAAGACTCCTAGTTTGATCTATTGTATGTTTTCTCTTTTTAAAAAATTGTCTTTGTTTTTCATTTCCTTTCCCTTTTTGCCTTAGAGTTATTAAATTTGTTTTCCTTGCACGTTTTATTTTTTTCCCATTATTTTTTAATGTTTCTTTTTTTCTTCTTTTTTTCCTTTTTGGCTGCTGTCTGCCTGTTTGTCTTGCCCAACCTAAAAAGAAAGTGCAGTTATGCCCACACAGTCCAGACACATCTGGACCTCCTACAGCCAGACCTGCTGTGTGAGGACCACTACCCATTCCCGTATCATTAAATCATTGATAGATAAAGGAAAATATGAGCCAAAACGGACCCTAGCCGAGCTTTATGGGCAGTATATGAAATATAGCTAAAGCACCACAACAGTGGCTCGGAGAAAAGAGCCTATTTCAGTTTATGTGAAGAAATAAGAGAGTGGTTTGAAATAGTGACCAATATACAAAGCCAAAAATATTAAAAAGCCTTTCTCAGGAAAAGCCATTGGCATAATCTGATAGAGAATTTCTCTGTGAAAATTGTATTTCAATACTTCCAATACCATCAACCACGCACGCGTCCCCAGCCAGAGGTTTGAAATATCCTGGCTACGGGAGGGCCTTGCTCTCTCTTACCCTGCGCCTGGTCAGCGGCAGGTGGAAAGTGAGGGTGTACTTCCCCCACGTGGGAGCACCCATGTGCCCGCGCTGGGCCTACTTGGAACC